CTATTACAAGTGTGGAGATTCACCCTCCTCCTCGTACTATGCCTTCCACCCCGTCCCCTCCCAAGTTTCTCCCTCTTCTGTCACCTCCCAGGTTTCTACCTCTTCTGTCCCCCCCCACACTTCATCTCCAGTCCCTTACACTTTTCCCTCCCCCTCTACTTTGGTACAGTCCATTACTGTCCCAATCTTTACTCACCCTCCTCCTCCTATCTCCAATATGGTTTCCCATACATCTTTGAATTCAGAAACACTTGAAGCCATTTCAGAATATATTGCAGAGACTAAACCTTCAATGGACACTGATTCACTTCCTGTTCCTTCTCTTCCCTCTCCTCATTTTCCCACAACCCCATTCTTCGCAACGCTCCGTTCCTTCGCTACTTGAACATCTTCCAATGCCACCACACGTTGACTTTTCTAACCCCTCTAGTCCGTAGGTGCCTTTACCTACAGATTCCTGATATTTTCTTCATCGCCAATCATGGCCTATTTACAGTGGAATATCCGCGGCCTCAGGGGTAATCGGGGTGAGCTTCAGATGTTGCTTTCCAGGTTTTCCCCTGTTGGTGCTTGCTTACAAGAACCAAAATTACACTCGGCTGTTTTCCAACCTATCTCAGGCTATAATTTATTGTATTCTTCGGATCCTTTCTCAGATGGGACCTTTAATGAAAGTGCCCTTCTACGCAATGATATTCCGTACTGTCAACTATTTGTCCATACCTCGCTGCATTACACTGCAGCCCGTATCCACTTGAATAAGTGGTTTACAATATGTTCTTTATATCTCTCTCCTTCTCGAGCATTTTCTATCCCAGACTTTGCCTTTCTTGTTTCATCCTTACCACCACCACTTCTGTTACTTGGTGATTTTAATGCCCACCATTTCCTCTGGGGGGGGTCTCATTGTGACTCACGTGGCATTCAGTTGGAGGCTTTTCTTGCCTCTCACCCCCTCCATGTTTTAAATACGGGTACTCCCACCCATTTTGATCCTCGTACTCATACTCTCTCTTGCATCGATCTATCAGTCTGCTCTTCCTCCACTGCACTAGACTTCACCTGGTCTGTTCTACCAGACTTACATGACAGCGATCATTTTCCGATCATTCTTACTTCTCCTTCCTATTCACCACCTTCCCGTAGCCCTCGCTGGCAATTTGATCGGGCAAATTGGGATCTTTACTCACACCTCACTGCCTTTTAGTGAGGTTCCTTCTTCATCCTCCATTGATGAGCTCCTACACATCTTCTCGACATCAGTTATACCGCAGCTTCTCATTCTATACCCCAAACCTCAGGCAGGCATTCTCAGAAGTGCGTGCCTTGGTGGTCTCCTGCTTGTGCTCGTGCAGTACGTTTGAAACGTGCTGCATGGGGCAGGTACCGGTACAATAGAACCGCTGAGAGACTTGTTGATTTTAAGCAGAAGCGTGCGATCGCTCGCCGTGTCATCCGTGAAGCTAAACGCACTTGTTGGCGAGACTATGTTTCCACCATCACCTCTGCTTCTTCTATGAGTGCAGTCTGGAAAAAAGTGAGGAAATTGAGTGGTAAATACTCTCCTGACCCGGCTCCTGTTCTACGGGTCACTGGTGTTGATATAGCAAACCCTCTCGACGTTGCCATTGAACTTGGCACACATCTGGTCCGTATTTCCCGAGGGCTCCATCTATGCCCCTCGTTTCTTTTCCTCAAAGTCTGCCAGAGAGTTAGTACCCTTGGACTTTTCTTCTCTCGGAGAAGAACAGTATAATGTGCCTTTTACACTTCAAGAACTGGAGGCACGCTCTCAGCTTGCCGATCTCGGCAGCTGGGCCTGATGACATTCATATTCGTATGTTACAACATTTACACGGTCAGCCCTTGTAGTCCTCTTACACCTCTTCAATCTTATTTGGCACAAGGAGTTCTTCCCCAGCTGTGGAAATCTGCCATTGTTCTCCCTTTCCGCAAACCGGGTACTACAGGACATGATGCCTCCCACTATCGCCCATCGCTCTTACAAGTGCAGTTTGCAAAGTGATGGAACGCCTCGTAAATCGACGTTTAATGTGGTATTTAGAGATCACAACAGTCTCTCCGCTAGTCAATATGGCTTTCGTAAGGGTCGTTCTACCCTAGACCCCTTACTACGCTTGGATACGTATGTTCGTAATGCCTTTGCGAATAATCACTCAGTTATTGCCATATTTTTTGACCTTGAGAAGGCATATGACACAACTTGGAGGTATAATATTTTGGCCCAGGCCCATTCCTTAGGCCTCGAGGCAATCTACCATCCTTCCTTAAGAACTTTTTAACTGACAGACATTTCCCTGTTCGAGTCAATAATGTTCTTTCCCCGGACTTCGTCCAAGCTGAAGGTGTCCCTCAGGGATGTGTTCTAAGCACAACACTTTTTCTCCTTGCTATAAATGATTTGGCCTCTGTTCTTCCACCAATATTTGGTCATCACTCTATGTTGATGACTTCGCTATTGCTTGTGCAGGCGCTGACTGTCACCTTATTGCAGTTTCTCTCCAGCATGCGGTCGACCGTGTTTCCACTTGGGCCACCACACATGGGTTTAAATTTTCAAGTACCAAAACTCACCAAATTACTTTCACTAGACGCTCTGTTATCTCCGATCATCCTTTGTATCTCTATGGCTCCCGTATCCCCGAACGTGATACAGTCAGGTTTCTAGGCCTTCTCTTTGACCGTCGGTTAACCTGGAAACCTCACATTACCTCTCTGAAGGCAACTTGTCACAGCCGGCTAAACCTTCTTAAAACCCTTGCTCATCTTTCCTGGGGAGCTGATCGTCGAACTCTGCTTCGCCTACATTCAGCCCTCGTTTTATCGAAACTCGATTATGGTGACCAGATTTATTCCGCGGCCTCTCCTGCTACTCTCTCTAGCCTTAACTCTATCCATCACCAAGGCTTACGTTTGTGCCTTGGTGCTTTTCGCTCTTCCCCTGTTGAGAGCCTCTATACAGAAGCAAATGTTCCATCCTTGTCTGATCGCCGTGATGCCATTGCCTTCGTTATATGTACGCTCTCACGATCTACACAATCCTTCCATTTATAGAATGGTCACCGATATTAGTAGACATTCTTTATTCGTTCGCCGCCCGTTTGCTCCGTCCCTTTTCTCTTCGCCTACATTCACTCTTGTCTTCCCTTCAGTTACCACCTTTATATGTTCATGTAGCATCTCACTTTTCCCTGCCCCCTGGGAAGTTCCAGCTGTTCGGGTCTGTTCTTTTCACTCCCTTGCTCGAAAGCTCAACTGCCTACGGTGGCTTCCGCTCTCTTTTTCTTGATCACTTCCACTCCCATTCTCATGCCACGCTGTGTACACAGATGGCTCTAAGTCTTCAGACGGCGTCGGATTCGCAGCAGTGTTTTCCGGACAGCGTCGTACGAGGGCATTTACTATCTTCAGCTAGCATTTTTACTGCTGAACTGTATGCCATTCTTGCAGCACTTATTCGTATTGCATCTATGCCTGTGTCATCATTTGTAGTAGTCTCAGACTCCCTTAGTGCTCTACAGGCTATACGAAAATTTGATTACATCTCATCCCTAGTTCTCCGTATCCAAACTTTGGCTACGCCGTATCTCTACCAAACATAAAGATATTGTTTTTTGTTGGGTCCCTGGTCATGTCGACGTACAGGGCAATGAACAGGCAGACACTGCTGCGCGGTCAGCAGTATATGACCTACCAATTTTCCTATCGAGGTGTTCCATTTCTGGACTATTTTGCTGCAATAGCTACCCACCTTCGCACCCGTTGGCAACAACGTTGGTCAACTCTGCTCGGTAACAAACTTCATTCTGTTAAACCGAGCATAGGTTAACTGGCCGTCTTCTTGTCATCAGTGCCGAAGTTGGGAGACCACTCTCTCCCGCCTTCGCATTGGCCACACTCGTCTTACTCATGGGTATCTCATGGAGAGGCACCCTGTTCCTCTCTGTGAGCAGTGTCAAGTTCCAGTATCAATTAGCCACATTCTGTTAGACTGCCCTCTCTATCAACGAGCACGCAGAATTTACCTCCAACGTCGTCTTCGTTCTACTACTCTCTCTCTTTACCTTCCCTTCTTGCTGATGGACCCTCCTTTAATCCTGACTCTCTCATTGACTTCTTGACAACGACCGATTTACTCCACAAACTCTGATGATACTTTTCGCACTCCCCTCAGCCCTTTCTGGTTCAGTCTCTTGCTGCCCTTTACCCTTTCACCATCCACTGCCCCGCTGTTATCCGTAACCTGTTGCTCATCCATCTCCCTTTTGCCACCTGATGCCCTCACTTCCTTCCTGCCCTGCAGCGCTGTATAGTCCTTGTGGCTTAGCGCTTCTTTTTGATTATAATAATAATAATCACCAGTTGATGTTTATTGGATGCTTGGCATGATTTGTTTACTTTTGAACTTTGGTAAAAATCGAACATTTCTGCTACTTTGAGCTCAATTTCTAGGTACTTTTCTTTGTAAAACCAGTCAAAATCATCTCAATTTCTGTAATATGTCTTCCATTCTATAAAATGAGACCAAGAAAACTAGAATAAAACAATAAATACCATACGAAAATACAGTGCAAAGTCGCTGTTTTATTCCAAAAACACGGTCAGTTTTTTTTTTCTCATTATGCACTGTGTGCTGCAGGATTTTTTTTATACTGCACACTCTGACCACATAGACCCATTCTTTCATATGTATGCCTACCAGCTTTCTCCCACTAGATTTGAGGGTGCTAGAATTTAGGCGTACTAGTACGTCAAAAACCCTGGGTCATAAGCCGTACTAGTACGGCCAAAACCCTCAAAGGGTTAAAATAGTCTGATTTATATGTCCTTGTAGTCTTCCTATTTCCTTACATCTTGAATCTATTTACAATTCTCCCTCATGCTTAACCCAAGTTAATCTTAACTGTTGTATTATTCATGTCAGACACTGGTGTGTTACAATGTGTGTGGTGTGTTACAGGATGTGTGGTCTCTTGCAGGCTGTCAGGTTTATCACCATTCATGGGTCACAACTACGTGGAGACGATGACTAACGTGACGCATAACAAATACGACTTTGAGGATGAAAGTTTCAAGAGTGTCTCAGACGAGTCCAAGGAGTTTATCCAGAAACTGTTGGTGCTGGATAAAAGGTAAGAATGTCTTGCCTAGATCTGTCAGTCACTTTTCTCTTATCACTTCATGATCTTATACCTGTATGCATTCGTGTGTATATTATTATTATAATAAAAGAGAAGTGCTAAACCTACAGGAGTCATGCAGCACAGATTCGTGTGAATAATTATCCAAACTATGGATAGTCTTTAGCCTCATCAGTAGCCTAAGCTAAGTTTCTCACATTTTTCCAGTTATTTTCCTAGAGCACTGATGCAGAAGCCTTAGCAGACCTGAAAGCTTTGGACAGCATACTGCATCACTGCAATGTGACATTGCATGGGTGCAATACTGTATTGATGCAATATGGCATCAGTGCAGTATTGCACTGATATTGTACTGATGAAGGAATGGTGGGAATGTTGCAGTTCAGAGAGTCATTTTAACTGTTATATCTGAACACTTCTGATGGATGATGGTGACTGCTGCTTTTTTTTTTAGTCACCTTACCTTGGTGGGAGACAACTAGTATTAAAATTTTTTAACATTGTAATACTATAAGGTTTGGCATTCCTGAGTGTTAACTGTAATATATAGTCAAGTATATTAATTGCTATTGTAGGGCTTTTATGTTGCAGTTTGCGCCTGACCCCTGCACAGTGTCTCCGCCATGACTGGCTAAGAAGGCCACCCCCCTCCACCTTGCGCTACAGATGCCTAGAGTCTGAGGGCGGGTCTGAGGGCGAGTCTGAGGGGGAATCTGAGGAAGAGTCTGAGGAAGAATCCGAATCAGAAGACTCAGAGACTGACAACTCACTCACAGAGGAGAAGATTGCAAAGGAGGAAAAGGAAAATGAAAAGGAGAGGAGGAGGAGAGATAATGAACAGATAAAAAACATTGAAATCAAGAGAAAAGAATTGGAAAAACAAATGGAAGAAAAGAAGAAAGACTTAGAAAAACAAATGGAAGAAAAGAAGAAAGACTTAGAAAAACAAATGGAAGAAAAGAAGAAAGAACTGGAAAAAAAGGCAGCGGCTATAAAACAAGAGGAGGAGCTGGAACGAACAAAAAAACAACTGAAGGAATTTGTGGAGAGATGGAACTCCCATCCTAACTCGCCATATCTGGTGGGGACACCCATTCCACTGGATCTACAGCGGCTAGTCAGGACAGGTGGCTGGAACTCCAGAGCATCCTTAGCATCCTTTGCCTCTATGGCTGTGGCACCCCCATCTGACATTGCTGACCTCTCACACCTGGAGGAAGATGTGTTTACCTTCAATGACCTGGATGCTGTAACTAATGAGGAGGCACTAATTAACAATGTGGATAGCCAAGAAGATTTCACACTGTACACAATAGAGCCCACAGCACCCCTCACCAAGCAACCATCACCAGAGGAAGTGGCCAAAGAGCTGGAGGCTAAACTGATACAACTGCAACTGGAGGACACAACAGTATCCAGCAAGGATACAAGTACAGGTGAAGGTATCTACCATAATCCTACAACATGCACAACTAGAACTAAATTTGATGATATGCAAGAAGAACTGAATGAGATTTTGAAACTACAGAATACAACAAAAAATGCAAAGAACAAAACTGTACTAAATGATGTAGCTAATAATAGTAAGGATAAAATTAATAAATATAATGAAGAACAGGCAAAGGCTAAAGATATCCTTAATAAAAAAGAAGAGCAAAGGAAGCCTAATGATATACTGATAAATAAGGAGAAAGAACCCCTAGAAAAGGTTATTGAGGTACCACACAAAATGAGTGCAGAATCTATGGAAAAACACAAGAGAGCATATGAAGAACGGAAGAAAATGAAAGATATGGATTCAGACCAGCCAAAAGGCAAAGAAAATAATGGGAGAAGCAGCATCAGCAACCATCAGGATCAGGAGAAACCAAAGAGTGTAGATAGAAAAACAATGAGAGAATCAAAATCCAAAATATCTGAGGAGCTGCCTGAGGCTGAAAAGATCATTAATGACATACTGAGGGTAGATCACAAGAGTGCATATGAGGAATATAAGAGAATGATGGCCGAGTCACAGATGAAGATTGACGAGAAAAAGGCAAATGAAAGCTTTTGAAAAAATAAGAGAAAAGGAGGAGAACAAGCAGATACCAATCAAGCCAAAGAAAGACTCCCACAAGGAAAGATACTGTGAAGAAGAGAACAGCGAACACAAAATATAAACATCACACACAAGAAGGAAGACAAAAAAAACAAGAGCTGTAAAGGTGAATGTGAAGGGCAAACAAAGAAATGCAGGGGGAAACATTTACGGAAAAAAAATCAGACAAAAAAGGGGTTTTGGTGTCAAAAAAAAAAACCATTTAAGAAAAACAGGTGAGAAGAAAGGGAAGAAAAGACAAAAGGAAAAAGGCTGAACAAAAGGCTGTATGAAAAAAACAAAAGAGGTGTATCAAGGGAAAAATAAAAAAATAAAAATTTTTGAAGTTACTAGTTCATGAACACAAAGGGCTTGACAACAAGCAGTTAGTTAACACTAACAAACAAATCACAATAAAGAAAGACATGACAGCCAAATGATCAATAAAATCGGGAAATCAAAATAGAATTCTTGCGCAAATTGTTGTTGCCCAAAAAAAACCCTGAAAAAGACTGAAAAATTGCACTCCAAAATAGGGGCTTGGGGGAGTAATTTCAAGACAAAGAAAAAAGTCCCTATCACGTTCAGAACAGGGAGGTAGCAACAGAGATAGCACCTCTCGAGGCACAACTTCCAAAAACAGCGAAGAACGGGAATACAGTCCCAGAGGCTCAAGAGGTTCAACTCCAACCAAGCAGCTCAAGAAACAGCCCTCTAGAGATGTGCCTCTTCCAGTCAAGAACACAGATAGGGAAGATCAAGGAGCAACACCAGTTCTTCATGTGTCTTTGAGAGTTGGCTCTTTACCTTCTGCCACCAATGATAATGACAGTTTACACAGCATTGAAAAGCAAAGCTCTGTTGATATGATGCCAGGGAGTCCTACCCGAAGGAGCCGAAAGACTTCACGTGAGGAGCGTCCACCCTCCAGAGAGTCCGATAGGAGTACCCGGGGAGGAACTCCTGTTAGCAGTAGCCATCGGCGACCTTCTCGAGATGTTCCCCTCAGTCCTGCTCAGTTGGAACGCCTGGATGCAAGCTTTAGCCTGAGTATCTCTGACCAAACATTTCCTCAGTCACAAGCTTGGCCTGACATTATTGTTGGGCCTCAAGGTGAAGATAGTGAAGACTTGCCAGATTATAAAGATTCTTTAGATATTCCGGTTGCAACTCTAATGAAGAGTCCAAGTGGAACATTGTTATCTGTCCCAGGGGTGACAGTTTCTCAAGTAAACAAGCAGGCATTAAATGATCCCTCACCTCCGAGTCCCAACCAGGCAAACGATGAGACAGTTGCCAAAGATGAGCAAGCCTATGTCCCAAACAACAAGCTAGTTGCATGGATACTCGATATTGGCACAAAGCAAGTTCAACAAACTTCATCTGTCAGCATGTCTGATCGTGTGAACCAGTGGGAATCAAGAGATTCTTCCCCCAGACTAACCCCTTCTCCTTCCAGAGACAGATCTCCACGGCCTAGAGAGTTATCTCCATTGCCTACTGGAAAAGAGAGAGAAAAATCTCCCACATTGGCGAGGCCACAGCCATTTCAGCCTTTATCACGGGAGGCATCTTCTGATAGTCTTTTCATCCAAACACCTTGGGGGACCCTGAAACGTTCTCCATCCAAGAGTAGCTTATCAAAAACTCAGTCTTTTGAAGCTCCTTCCACAAAGATAGGAGAAATGACATCAACTGTGCTCGGTAGTACAGATTTGTCATCAGAAAAATCTGATGACAGCACATACACTGACAATGCAACACAATCTCGGTCTCCTAAAGCAGTGGGATCAAAGTTAATAAGACAATTAGCTGTGGAGGTGACAGACTCCCAGCCTGCCCACAGGGTTAGCAGTGATATACCTCCCAAACCTCCAGAAAGGAATAAAGAAACATATAAAAGTGAGCAAGAAGATGATAGACCTGCAGTCAAACAAGAAAATAATGAAAGAAAAGTTTTAATCGAAAAAATACATAATGATAGAACTGAAATCAAGCAAGAAGATAATGGTAGAACAACTACAGTCAAGCAAAATGTTAATAGAACTGAAATCAACCAAGACAATCATAGAACTGCAGTCAAGCAAGATGATTTTAAAAGCTACACACTGCCCAGATCATCAAAACTTATGAAACAGAGGTCATCAGATTGTTTAAATTTGTATTCAAGTGACAAGAAGCAAGACATCAAGAAGCCTCCACCTATTGATATTAAGAAAATTAATGAAGACTATAACACTCAAAGTCTAAAGAGAAAAAGCAAATTCCCTCCTTCACCAAACCAAAAGAAGAAAATTGGTCCCATGCTCTTTTCTGCTCAGGATCGAATATTTCAGTTTGAGCAAAAGCCTACGTTCAGTCACCCACCACAGCAACCCATCACTAGAACCAGAAGTAATGTTGTTCTTTCACTTTGCTCTGAGAAGGTATCAAATGATGTTAACAAGAATGGCTTGCGTGGGGCTAAAGTGAATGACAAGACTCAGGTCGGGTACCTGAGGACAAGGCTCCTGGAAAAAGTAGGCAAGAGTACACCTACACTGCCTGAGGAACCAGGCCAGGGTGAAGACTCAATCAGTCAGAGTACCACTAACAATAAAAGGAATAGTGCTGGTGGCTCCGGGCCCTCCCACCTCCGTTAGCAAACCTCTCACACGCAGTTTCACTTTACAAGGTGTATGAATGTTAAACTCCTAAAGCATCTGTATTAAGTTTATGAATATATTTGAGAAGTGCCAGGCTGTGCCGTCACTCACTGGACATAAATGTGTGAGAGCAACTCATTTCCCTCCATCATGCATATTTAACCATATCACAATATCTGTTACTGTTAGAAAACTTTGCATGTTTATGACCACAGAATATAAAAATTACACAATCATTTGTCAAAGTATTACTTTTTCACCTTACATACATACACACACACACAAATACACATACAGTATATAGTACAGAAAATTATACCTGGTGATGTTTCTAATCATCATGTCAACAACACTGTGACCAGCATTATCACGCTTTGACAAATTATGTTCGCAAAGGCAGCTTTCATAAGGAAGAATTTTGTCACTATTGCTTTATAAGCATGTTAAATTTTTTTGCATTATTATAAATGAAACTTGTACAAGCTAGAGATTATTATTTACCCTTACAGCAACCAGATAAAGTATGTATTTTTTTTTTTTCCAAGCCAAACTTGTCAGTTACACTATAGGTGTATGATAATTTTTTTTTTTTTTGAGTGATTTATCAGGCAAAACCCTATTGGAAAAAGTGATCAAGTTATTGTGAAAACAATATTTGCCACTAAATATGACCTTAGGGAAGGAAAAAATTTACTAAATTATAAGTTCTCATTCACAGAGCACTAAATCTATTGGGATGTCATATAGCACCTGGGAAATAGGAGGCAATCAATTTGGTCCAAGGGGGAAAAAATAAAATTCCTTGGATTAAGAGTCCTTCCCTAGCATAAGGCATTCCAAATGAAGGGGTAAATATGCAGATCAAAAGCAATATTTCAAGGATATTAACTGGAATCAGTGACTTCAAAATAAAAATGTGATATACGAGTTCTGCAAACTACATACATGAAAATGGTATCAGTCAGTACACAGAAGCGTCTTGCTTATTCAGCACCCTATTTTCAGTGCTCCACGTTGTTGGTTTTTCAATTGAGCCATTCATCATATTCAGTGCTTTTTCAACCTTTCCATCATTTTTGCACAACTGTAGTTTATGGAAGAGCAACCAGTGCCACATTTTAAGGTAAGTATTATGTGTACTGTGTATTTATTTTACTTTTGTATCTTTTTTCTTCATATCTAGTTGTACCAAGCTTTCAGATGCATTCAGTATTGAAAAAATGCTCCTTTTCCACCTGCTGGCAATTTTTGCTTATTGTTGGGGTTGGGAACCTAACAGCCCTAAAAACAGGGGCCTTCCTATATTCCAAAATGGGGAAACAGACCTAATATAAATGAATAGTTTACCAGGTGTTGAAGAGCCATGAAATATTACACATAACCACAATAGGAATTAAGCAAACCAGGGACTTAATAAATTTAAACAAGCCAGGAAGAAATTTTTTTTTTTTTTTTTTTTTTTTCAACAAGTCGGTCGTCTCCCACCGAGGCAGGGTGACCCAAAAAAAAGAAAGAAAATACTTTCATCATCATTCAACACTTTCACCACACTCACACATTATCACTGCTTTTGCAGAGGTGCTCAGAATACAACAGCTTAGAAGCATATACGTATAGAGATACACAACATATCCCTCCAAACTGCCAATATCCCAAACCCCTCCTTTAAAGTGCAGGCATTGTACTTCCCATTTCCAGGACTCAAGTCCGACTATATGAAAATAACCGGTTTCCCTGAATCCCTTCACTAAATATTACCCTGCTCACACTCCAACAGATCGTCAGGTCCCAAGTATCATTCGTCTCCATTCACTCCTATCTAACACGCTCATGCACGCTTGCTGGAAGTCCAAGCCCCTCACCCACAAAACCTCCTTTACCCCCTCTTTCCAACCCTTTCGAGGACGACCCCTACCCCTCTTTCCTTCCCTATAGATTTATATGCTTTCCATGTCATTCTACTTTGATCCATTCTCTCTAAATGACCAAACCACCTCAACAACCCCTCTTCTGCCCTCTGACTAATGCTTTTATTAACTCCACACCTTCTCCTAATTTCCACACTCCGAATTTCTGCATAATATTTACACCACACATTGCCCTTAGACAGGACATCTCCACTGCCTCCAACCGTCTCCTCGCTGCTGCATTTACCACCCAAGCTTCACATCCATATAAGAGTGTTGGTACTACTATACTTTCATACATTCCCTTCTTTGCCTCCATAGATAACGTTTTTTGACTCCACATATACCTCAACGCACCACTCACCTTTTTTCCCTCATCAATTCTATGATTAACCTCATCCTTCATAAATCCATCCGCTGACACGTCAACTCCTAAGTATCTGAAAACATTCACTTCTTCCATACTCCTCCTCCCCAATTTGATATCCAATTTTTCTTTATCTAAATCATTTGATACCCTCATCACCTTACTCTTTTCTATGTTCACTTTCAACTTTCTACCTTTACACACATTCTCAAACTCATCCACTAACCTTTGCAATTTTTCTTTAGAATCTCCCATAAGCACAGTATCATCAGCAAAAAGTAACTGTGTCAATTCCCATTTTGAATTTGATTCCCCATAATTTAATCCCACCCCTCTCCCGAACACCCCAGCATTTACTTCTTTTACAACCCCATCTATAAATATATTAAACAACCATGGTGACATTACACATCCACAGGAAGAAATATACAGACGAAAATATTTAAAAAGGTAATAATGTACAAGAGTGAGACAGAACCAAATTTGTTTTTATCATAAAATCTACATCCCAGGAAAAAAATGAATGACTTTCACCTAGCAAGTGGTATTTATTATTATTATAATCAAGGGAGAAGCGCTAAACCCGGAGGATTATACAGCGCCTGGGGGGGGATGTGGAAGGCATTCAGGCTTAATTCGAGGAACTGGAGCACAGATCCAATTCCCTAAATCAAGAGCCCCTCACCAACATCAAGGAACCTTCCTTGAGGGGTTGCAAGTGGTAATTAGGAATCATGATTAAAGTTTAGGATCACACCCACTATTAATTCTTCAGAAATTGAAGTTCAAAGTGTCTTAGTGAGACTTAACATCTATTTCTTTTTAAAATTAAATATGGGAGTTAGCATAATCCAACATTAGAGATGTAGCAGGAAAGAAGTGAGCCATGCTAACATTACCTTGGGACAGATGATGATTTACACTGCACTACCTTTGTAGATGCACAAGGTAGGCCAGCATCACTCCTGGATACAGAATAGCATGAGGTAGGTCAGAATCATTCCAAGGCAAGAGTCACTGGGCAAACCAGCATCACCTTGAGAATTTAGGTAATAAACTGACCAGCATCATCCCAGGACAATGAGTATTAAACAGACCAGCATCAGCCTGAGGAGGAGAAAAGTATTAGGCAGGCCAGCATCACCATGGGATACAGACAAGTGTTAGGAAGGTCAGCATCACCATGGGATGCAGACAAGTGTTAGGCAGGCCAACATTACTCTGGGATGCAGACTAGCTACTAATTAATGTATCAAATACTACTTTTCTTGTAAATCATCATCTTTCAACAAACCGACCGTATCCCACTTAGGCAGGGTGGCCCAAAATAGAAAAACAAAATTTTCTCTTTTTAACATTAGTAATGTATACAGGAGAAGGGGTTACTAGCCCCTTGCTCCTGGAATTTTAGTTGCCTCTTAAGACATGCAAGGCTGACGGAGAAAGAATTCTGTTCCACTTCCCCATGGAGATAAGAGGAAATAAACAGGAACTATAACTATTAAGAAAATAGAAGAAAACCCAGAGCAGTGTGTGTATATATATGCTTGTACATGCATGTGTAGTGTGACCTAAGTGTAAGTAGAAGTAGCAAGATGTACCTGAAATTTTGCATATATCTGAGACAGAAAAGACACCAGCAATCCTACCATCGTGTAAAACAATTCCAGGCTTTCGTTTTACACTCACTTGGCAGGATAGTAGTACCTACCTGGGCGGTTGCTGTCTACCAACCTATTTAGGATTCTTCTAAATCTTCCTTCTTTCAACACACCAGCCGTATCCCACCGAGGCAGGGTGGCCCAAAAGAAAAAACAAAAGTTTCTCCTTTTACATTTAGTAATATATACAGGAGAAGGGGTTACTAGCCCCTTGCTCCTGGCATTTTAGTCGCCTCTTACAACACGCATGGCTTACAGAGGAAGAATTCTGTTCCACTTCCCCATGGAGGTAAGAGGAAATAAACAAGAACAAGAACTAGTAAAAAAAATAGAAGAAAATCCAGAGGTGTGTGTATATATATGCTTGTACATGTATGTGTAGTGTGACCTAAGTGTAAGTAGAAGTACCTGAAACCTTGCATGTTTGTGAGACCAGCAATCCTACCATCATGTAAAACAATTACAGGCTTTCATTTTACACTCACTTGGCAGGACGGTAGTACCTCCCTGGGCGGTTGCTGCCTACCAACCTATTTAGGATTCTTCTAAATTATTTTTTTTATTTTTTTTTTTTATTATCACACCGGCCGATTCCCACCAAGGCAGGGCGGCCCGAAAAAGAAAAACTTTCACCATCATTCACTCCATCACTGTCTTGCCAGAAGGGTGCTTTACACTACAGTTTTTAAACTGCAACATTAACACCCCTCCTTCAGAGTGCAGGCACTGTACTTCCCATCTCCAGGACTCAAGTCCGGCCTGCCGGTTTCCCTGAATCCCTTCATAAATGTTACTTTGCTCACACTCCAACAGCACGTCAAGTATTAAAAACCATTTGTCTCCATTCCTCCTATCAAACACGCTCACGCATGCCTGCTGGAAGTCCAAGCCCCTCGCACACAAAACCTCCTTTACCCCTCCCTCCAACCCTTCCTAGGCCGCCCCCTACCCCCCCTTTCCCTTCCACTACAGGACTGATACACTCTTGAAGTATTCTGTTTCGCTCCATTCTCTCTACATGTCCAAAACCACCTAACAACCCTTCCTCAGCCCTCTGGACAACAGTTTTGGTAATCCCGCACCTCCCCCTAACTTCCAAACTACGAATTCTCGCATTATATTCACACCACACATTGCCCTCAGACAGGGACATCTCCAATGCCTCCACCCTTTCCTCGCTGCAACATTCATCACCCACGCTTCACACCATATAAGAGCGTTGGTAAAACTATACTCTCTACATTCCCCTCTTTGCTCCAAGGACAAATTTTCTTTGTCTCCACAGACTCCTAATTTGCACCACTCACTCTTTTTCCCTCATCAATTCTATGATTCACCTCTCTTTCATAGACCCTCCGCTGAAAACGTCCACTCCCAAATATCTGAATACGTTCACCCCCTCCATACTCTCTCCCTCCATCTGATATTCAATCTTTCTCCCCTAATCTTTTTGTTACCCTCATAACCTTACTCTTTCCTGTATTCACCTTTAATTTTCTTCTTTTGCACACCTACCAAATTCACCCACCAATCTCTGCAACTTCTCTT